GAGAAATCATAGGCAACGTTAGTTTCTTCATCTGAATTAGATAATCTCTTTGGTTGGGGAAGATCTGATATCTGAGGTTTCATCTTATTATCCTATGACATGTTTTCCAGGTCCTTCTAATAGTTACCAAGAATGGATCTTAAAAGGGGATTTCTAGAACCAAAATTAGATTAAGAAAAATTAAAAAGTCTAATAGCTAATTTATAAAATTCTAATTATAAGAACGGAGATGCCCAGAAACATCATAGCTTTGCAACCAGAGACTCTTTGTGCTGGAATAGACTTTATAAAGATTATCGCATTCCACTTCCTCATTTTATAGAGGTTGGAGAACTGACATCTAGAAAGTTTAGGGGACTGTCCCAAGTTCACACATGTATTCCATGATAGAACTAGCACTAGAACCTGGATATCCTCTCTTGCCAATAGAAGAAGATGCACCATTCTTAGTGGATCACAGATTGAACAGAATATTATGTAAACAATTTAGTGTTATTGATTAATGAATAAATAAGTAGAGTCCAGTTTATAAACCATTGTAAGGAAGGAATTTGCCTAGTTAACTTTATCATAAATAATAAAAGCTCACACTTGTATATTTTGTAGTATACAAAACTCTACTTTCTGTAACTCTTTGAGAAAGGTAGTAAAAATGTCATCATCCTCATTTTATTGAAAGGGAAATGGAGGCTCATAGGTGACCAAACAAGGAGAACAAAGTAAAACAAGGATCTGAACCCAGAAATTTTTGGCCTAAATGGTACTTTACCTTAAACTGTATAATGGTACAGATGTTGAAATTATTTGCACAAAAATTATGGTGAGCATTTAACTCATAAGCATAACCTTGACTGGTCCAGGGCAGTCACCTCATAATTTTCTACCTGGCTGCTCTCCTGGACTTTACCATAGTCTTCAGTAACTCATCTTCCTGCAAGATTGCATCAACTCTGAAAACTCACTTCTCCTCTGTAGCCCCTGCCCCTGGGCATCCTCCCTTTCTCTGATGGGAGAGGGTAGAGGGTGGACCTTGGAAAACTCCTCCCAGATCCTCCATTTAAGAAGGAGGAGTGACAGCAGGCTTCTTATAATTTCCCATCTGTCTGTAGGACTTTATCATGCCTGGCACCATGTACCCTCCATCTCCCATTCTTCCTTCCATTTCAGCTTCTTTTTATGTGTTGTCTCCCCCCATTAGATTATGAGTTCCATGAAGGCAGGAACTGTCTTGACTTTCTTTGTATCCCCAGAGCTTACTTAGCACAGTGCCTGGCACACAATAGGAACTTAATAAATGTCTATTGGCTATTTATACCTTATCTGGTATATGACTCCTTCAGAAGAACCCCAATTAATAGATTAGAAAGGGCTTCGGTTCAATGCTCAGGAATGCTTCATACAAATATTTTCAAAGTCCCTTATGATTGATTCAGCCCAAAGCAACCAATCTGGTGTTAGGATTCCTTATGGAATCTAAAACATCCTAACTTCAGATGTATGGGAAGTTTTTCTCCTTCTCAAGGGAGCTTTTGTTTGTCATTCATATAGTACCAAACCCTTGATTTTTCAATCTCTTCTTCCTTCTGTGGTTTATTACTGAATTTCTCATTTGAAACTCCTTTCCTGCCCCTTCTCTCCTATTCATAGGGCATTATGGTCAACACCACCGAAACACCAGTCACAGCTCCTACCAGATCATACTCTGAGACCTGCCCAAGAGGAAAAGTATATTCACTTTGTTGATTTACAACTGGAAATTTTAAAATTCAAAATATAATTATTTCCTTTTGTATATATAACATCAGTATGTGAAAGACGAGTCTGTATACATGATGCAGCACACTTTGGAGTTGTGTTGACAAGTCAATTAAAAGGCTCAAGGAGGAGTTAGTGCTTGTACTAATCATTTTGAGTATGGTTACTTCTGGTAGTCCTGAGCAATATCACCTAAGTCTCTTCTGAGGACCATTAGCTTTGGTGTTGCAACAGCCAGCGGTTCTTCAGATATCTCTTGAGATGCACGTATCCTTGAATGGATAGGAATCCAGAGGCTGAGCATAATATGCTGTTTGCAAGCACAATGACATAATATTGGAGTTAGGAAGACCTGGTTCCAACTTCTGTCCTAGATATTATTAGATGTGTGACTGTGAGTCCCTTCACTTCTCTGAGATTCAGGTTGTTCCTCTGTCAAATAAGGATAATAATAGTATTCATCTCAAAGAGTTGTTGTAAGGATCAAAGGAAAGGGCTTTGCAAACTTTCTGTGTCACGCCGGGCAAGTCATTTAACTCCAGTTGCTTTGCCCTCCACATCCCCCCCCCCCCAAACTTTAAAGTACTTTGTAAATATAAGCTATAATTATTGTTATTGTTGTTACTATTATTAATGATAATGGTAAGAGTACTGGGATCAGTGCCAGGAAGCCAAGATTCTAGTCCTTAATCTGACACCTGACTTGTAAAGGGGTAGAGCTTTTGCCACTTCCTGACTCACAGGACTCCTGTGAAGAAAGCATTTTATAAAGCTTAAAGGGCTCTTGAGCTCTAGCGAACCAAAAGGATTTCAGTTCTATTCGTGCAGATCTCAGGACCCTGCCCCTTGTGAAAACTATCCTCATTCGATTTCATTCCTAGCCCCAGAGCAAAACTTTGCAACTCTTTCAACCCCCTGCCCCCTCCTAAAAACAAACAAACAACACAAAAAACCCCTATAATTTCAGAAATATCTCTATTACGTGTCCTAGCACACCCATCTTCCCTTTTTTCATGAGCTAAAAAATGCTTTCCAAGATGTTTGTCCAGTATCTATGCCAATTAGTTAAGTGCATTCGATGTTAATGGTGCGTTATCAGGACAGGCCATTGAGTGGGAAAGAAAACACTGTCACAAAAAAATCACTTTCACAAAAGTAGAAGAATATTTGAGTGGTGGGGGCTGCTTTGGTTTCATATGGACCTCTGGAGCAAAGGGTGGTGGAAGAGGTGAGCTTGTTTTAGGTAGGAATTTCTGAGGGTGGGCTCGTGCTGCTGTGTGCAGTCTGGGGGGCTGTTTCGGGGCAGGGGACCTTCTCCTTCTTTTCTCTGCTTCTCTTCCCCTTTCGCCTAGGCTGCCCCACCCAGTCAGCTATTCTAGCAAGGGTTCTTAACCTGGAGTCCACTGACCTTCCAAGAAATCCATAGAGATGTCAGGGCTCTGTGAACCTGAATGGGAAAAATATATATAATCTTTATTTTCACCTTTGCTTCAGTAAAGTACTTTGGTTTGCTTTGTAATTTTATGTATTTAGTTTATGCATTTAAAAACATTCCATGATTCAATAAAAGGTTAAGAACCCCTGCAATTGGCAGGTGAATTAGAATGTCTCCTTAGGAAGGTTAGGATTTTTCTGCTGCTTGAAACAATAAAAGACCTTTGCCTGGGGTGGGGGATGGGGGGTAATGGTGGGTGACCATTCCCTTTTAGGGCTTGTAGCCCTCAAGGAATGCCTTCTGGTCTATTGGCCAGATTTTGCAGGAGAAGAAAATAGTGCTTTATTTTAACCTTTTAAACTGTGTTATTTTAATTATTAAATTAGTAAAGTATTTTAAAGTAGATTTTATGGTCCACCAAGGACTTATTGCATTTTAAACCTCAAACTTGAATGATAGGCTAAGTCAACAGTAGTTTGACTAAGGAAACCATTGTGGGAGATAATGCTATAGGGAAAGAATACTACATGGCTGGTCAGATAACCCGGGTTCGAATCCTGATTTAGATAGTCACAGGCTGCATAGCTTTGGGCAAATTACTTAGTGTGTCTGGACCTCAGCTTCTCCATCTGTAACGTGAGGTGTTTGGACAAGATTATGTATAAAACAAGTTTGTTTTTTTTCCAGTTATTAATCCTAAGAGAGTTTATTTTTCCTTAAAATCAAGGATTTCTGACTTAGCAGATCTGATAGCAGTCCCAATTGGCTATAATAATTGCCTCAAGGACCAAAAGCATCTGTAGGTCAAGTGTTCAAAAGCTGAAATAATGACTGAGTTAGGCTGCCAATTTGGCACCTGGTAGAGACGCTAAGTCTCATATAGACAAAGGGGAGATTAGAAGAACATACAAATATAGCTGCTTAAGCTATAGTGCATATACATATTGGTTGATATCTGAAGTCATAGCATTTGTATACATGAATATAACTATTCCATATGCATCTGTACAGGTCTTTGAAATTCTGCTCTTATGCTCATTTGACTGATGACAGCCATAATTACTTTAGATATCCTACAAGTAAATGCCCAAATAGATATCATTGTATTTGCCCTAAGCCATTCCTAAATGAGGCGGGTAGTTGTCAGGGTCTAGACATTCCAGCATCCCAAAAGAGAGCCTGAGTTTTCTTGTTAATTATTTTTAATGCCAGCTAAACTTGGTCAAGCATGTCCACATACTTGGTGTTTGGAATAGACAAGTGACAACTTTTAGCAGCAGCAGCAGCAAATGTAATCAAGATCAATGTAACATGGAGATGAAAGCTCAACAGTGTAAGAAGACTCCATAGACAAGGCTTGGGTCTTCTTCTGCCTAATGTCATTTCTTCCATGGCATCTTCTGATGAGTGACAGCTTATAGCCTGTCTTCTTTTCCCCACTAGTGCTCAGGGGTGGATAGCATTCAGAGCAAATGGAGAAAAGAGGAATCTCAAAAACTACTGAAAGAACTTGGTCCAAGGGGAGGTAGAGTAGGGAGAGGGAGAAGGAAACCAGAAAGATACCAAACCCAATCCCCAGTGTTTTGCTTTTTATGAAAAAATCATAATGTCTGTTAGTAAAACATGAATCGGCCAGGTCAGAAAGTGTTACTTCTTTCCTGCCTCTGTCTATTCCCTTTCTATTCCCAATGCCTCAACTGGGAGAAGTTTTCCTGCTGGGTCATGCAGCCATCTGTCCTTTGGGGCTCCAAGACCCCACAGCTGCGGCCACCATAACAGCTAGTCCTATAGCGCCTCCCTTAGGCAAGCTTTAGGAGCTGCACTCTTCACAGTGGCAGGAGAGGATGTACCGATAGGTGGCTGTGAGTCTCATTCCCCCAGAGCATCGAAGCCTCAGGGCCTTCAGTTTGGAGGTCTGGGGCCGGCAGCAGTGACAGGTAGAGCGGAAGGGCTGCTTCAGGACTGTGCTGAAGGAGACCAGAGGCTCTGAGCGAGAGGGCTGACTGCAGTGCCCCTCACACCTTGCCAACAGCACCATCTGAAAGACAGAGGAAAGGAAATAGTCAACTTAGTTTGCCAAAATATCCATCTTTTTGCTTCTGTGTGTGTGTGTGTTTGTGTGTGATTACCAAGACAAAAGAAGAAGCTGTGGAACACTTGCTACCTATGTGACCCTGGGCAAGTCACTTAATCCTATTTGCCTCAGTTTCCTGATGGAATGACCTGGAGAAGGAAATAACAAACCACTCCAGTATCTTTGCCAAGAAAACCCCACGTGCTTTCATGAAAAAGAGTCAGACGTGGCTGAAAACAACTGAACAACAACAAGATGTTAAAATGAACCACCATTAGAGTTTATTTCCCCAAAGAGATTGTGCACATTCACATACTCTGTGTCTGAAGTTGGTGTTTCTAACCAGACAGAAAAGGAGAGAACCTAGACAAAAGTGGAAGTATCTAACTCAGCACAACATTAAGGACCCCCACCTGAAGGTAATTAAAGAATTAACAGAGCCCACTAGAAAATCAGTAGCTGTTATAGTTTATTCTAACATTTTTTACTAATGTTTTTTATTAAGGCATGATGTCTCTCCCCTCTGTTCCTTTTTTTTTTTTTGGCTAGACAATGGGGTTAAGTGACTTGCCCAGGGTCACACAGCTAGTAAGTGTTATGTGTCTGGGGCTGGATTTGAATTCAGGTCCTCCTGAATCCAGGGCCAGTATTCTATCCACTGCGCCACCTAGCTGCCCCCTCCCCTCTGTTCTTTAACTAGGGAACCATTTCTTGTGACAAAAATTTAAAGTTGGGGCTAGGGGAACAACTGAACAAAACATATTAACACATCAACTGTCTGACACTATATGAAATATTTAATATTTATGGTCTCCCACTTTTAAAAGTGAAGAAAGAGTGGTCTTTTTCTCAACAATTCTCCCGGGCTAGTCTTAGTTGTTTTAATTGTACAGTGTTCAGTCGAGCATTTCTGTTCCTTCAGTTTATGTTGCTGTCATTGTGTACATTGTTTTCCTGGCTCTGCTTGCTTTGCATTGTGTCAGGTCATGCAAGTCTTTCCATGGAATCCTTTATATTCACTGTTTCTTATAGTGTAAAGAGATTTCCCTACACTCATGCCCCACATTTTGTGTAGCCATTCCCCCATCGATGGATACCTACTTTGTTTCCAATACTTTGCTACCACAATAAGTGCCTCCATGAATATTTTGGTGTATATGGAATCTTTTCTTCCATTTGTTTTGTTTTGTTTTTCTTCTTGGGCCATATGCCTAGCCTTGGGAACTCTGGGTTGAAGAGTTAGATGTTATAGTCACCTTTTAAACTGTTATTTTAAAGACAATCCAAGAGAATAAGATTAGTCCTGGAGGACTGGAAAAGGGAGAACAACGTGCTCCTCTTGAAAATAGAAGGGTAGATGACCACTGTCAGATGCCATGTGCACTTGAACATTGCCTAGGAGCATAATGAGGATGGTAGCCTTGGCAGGAGCTCTCTAGCCGCAAGGACTTCAGAAGAAATGAGAGAATCAGCTGAATATCCACTTAAGTCCACAAACCAAACAAATGTGGTAGATTGGGATAACTTGTTTTCATACATATCTCTCGTTCCTGAAGAGTTCTCTCTCACCTCTGTTTCTTGGAATCTGTAACTCTACTCAAAGCTCAACCCTACACTAAGGCATTTCCTGCTCCCCTCTTTTCTTCCTTTCCCACCCCCCCAATTACTTCCTATAGATTTTAAATATACCTCTATGTGAACACATTGTCCCCCTCCCCCAGTAGAATGTAAATTCCTTCAGAGCAGGTACCCTTTTTCATTTTTGTCTCTGTATGACTCCTACTAAGCACAGCGCCTGGTACATAGTAGGCACTTAATAAGTGCTTATCTAATGGAATTGAATCATCTGTTTGCCTGATACCAAACTATTGCAGCCTGAACCCTGGGCTTCACCATTTGCTAGTTCCTTCTCTGATCAGGTTGTGACCACTAATTTTAACCTTGCCTCCATTTTAGCTATCATTTTCCACCTGTCAGTCAATTAATAAATATTTATTAAGCACTTACTATGCGCTGGGCCCTGGGCTAAGGCTGAGGATACAAAAAAAGGCAAAAGAAAGTCCCTACCCTCAAGGAGATCACAATCAAATGGGGGAGACAAGCAAACAAATATGTACAAACATGCTATATACAGGATAAATTGAAAATAAAGAAGAAAGGGAAGGGATGGAATTGAAAGTGACTGAGAAAGACTTCCTAAAGGAGATGGGATTTTAGCTGGGACTTAAAGGAAGCCAGGGAACCACCTCTAGCTCTTTCAGTTGCAGGATGGATCTCATCTATCAGGTTCTAGATCTTGCCTTATTTATCTTATTATTTTGACCTCTACTTGTTCACGAGTCTCTCAGCTATGTATCTCCCCCTCCTCCATGACCTAAATCAGAGAAATTTCAGTTAGTACCAGGTGCTTCACTTAGTCACAGCCCGTAATGACCCCTTTTAACTGTCCTCCCCTCTTTATATTTGCTCTGGATAACAACACAACCAGAGTGACTGCAGAACATTAACACTATTATCTGGGAGATAACACAAAGAACCAAGCAATCTCTTAGCAACCACATAAAAACCAGAAGATACTAGTAGTACTCAACCACTATAACTTTTCGAAGAACAAATAATGGCAGACCAATTTAGTTTATTTCTCCTATATAGATAATAACAGCAAAAATAAGATATATAAACTATCTTCATTTTAATCAGACTTTTCACTCAGTTCTATTTTAATAAGCTCGGAAAGTACCACATTGATTTTTCAAGCCCAGTGTTTCTCAAACAGGCTGTCTTTACCTTAGTCACATCTCTTTATCCTAACACTTCCTTTTCTGGAATCCTCTGGGCTAGAAACTTCTATTCCTCAGGCAACCTCAGAGATGGGCACCTACCTGCCTGTGACTTCAGGAAAAGAAAATCAAGGCCTCACCTGTGCCTATAAAACACCTAGCCCAGGGGTGGGGAACCAAATACTGCCCTTTGACTGAATCCAAACTTCACAGAACAAATCCCTTTAAGAGGATTTATTCTGTAAAACTTGGACTCAGTCAAAAGGCTCCACCCAAGGACCCAGAAGGTGAAATGTGGCCTCTAGACTGCAAGTCCCCGACCCCGACCTAGCCTTTTCAGCATTGTTAAGGGTGGGATGGGGATACTTGGAGTTACCACGGATGTAGAAACCCTACCCATCAAACTCAGGAAGAGAAGAGAGAGATTTTTGTAACAATGTACTAAGTTCTGGGAGAAGCCAGTCAAATAAACTTTATGAATTCTTTTCTCCTCCAATGCTGACAATTGCAGTTGTATTTCTTCCTTGTTCTTTGTATTCTCCTATCGTCCTTTTCTTTCTAAACGTTGGACCTAATGAAGGACCAAATAAATGCTTTGGATAGTCGCTAGCTCTTCTGACTCTTCCATGAAGCCCTTTTAACAGGTCCCAATGCATCTGTACCATAGGGTGTTGGCTATACAACATCTGTGCCAAAGATGGCAGGCAGGCTGGTTATGGCTACTCACATCTAGCGCATCAATGCTTGCGAGAATCATAGCCTTCTACTACCCTCTCTTACAAAGGCTGCCATGATAATTCTTCCTTATTACCTGCTCAGAAAAGTCAATGTAAGATTATGACCCCAGTTTCTATAACTCCTGGTATATATATCCCAGGAGGAAGGACCACTAAATTGGCACATTACATTTGGAAGATTGTCAATATCTGATCCAGGTCATGTTAGATGGATGAAAAGCTAGATTAAGAGTTGCATTTAAGGAACAGTTTTATTTACATTAAACATTTTTATTGTTATCTTTCATTTTCAAATATAGCCTTGACCACACTCGACTGAAGAAGCCAACCCTTGTTTTAATAAAGAATAAAAAAGAGAGAGAAAAAAATTTGTTGCAAATTAACTAATATTTGACTAATATTATAAGCAAATCAGCTGAGTGATGTTATTGTTATTGTTGTTTATCCTTCATTTTTTGAAGATCAGTGACATCACGGTTTGATGTCTTGACTTGTGTGTGAGTTGGATTTAAGTGACACAAGTTACCCAAAGTCATCAACTTCAGTCTCTCTTCCAGAGTCATCAAAGTCCACTGACAAGACAAAAGTCAAGATGACTGGCGATGGCCCAGGATGCAGTGGATGATCTCGGTGTCTTTGATGTCTGACCAAACTCTAAGTGCTCCACGGTGCCTGCTTCAGCCACCTTCATGGTCACTGGACAAATTGTTTTCATCTGCCTATTCCACTGGTAGGCATCTCCTTAAGTCACCCAGGTGCTTGAGGCCTGTCGGCTATACTCAACCTGGTTTAGCTGGTCTGCTGAGGTGGTTGTATGGAGTGAGGCTGCTACACATGCTACAGCTTCTTAGAGCCACAGGTGAGAGCTGGGAGACAGGTGGACATCAATGCTGGATGAGCAGCCTTGAAAAGAGCTTGGCAAGCCCTCTCATCAGAGGTGCTAGTCTTCCTTGAACACCCCATATACCCCAGGTGACATTATATGTGATATTTCATACCCACAGACCTCTAACTTTGCAATGAAAGGAAGATAGATTTTGTCATCTCATCTCTTCTTCAGGTTGACCTTGGTCATTACAATCACGTAATGTTCAGTTTCAAGATTTTGTTGATTGATGGTTTGATTTATATTTGTAGTTTGATTTATATTTGTAGGGTGGGGAATAGGGAGTATTTGACTCCCTCATCCCCACTCTCATGTGGACAAAATCTTTTTCCTAACTCTTCCCTTCAGGTATTCCTTGGTGTGACTCCCCTTATTCCTAGCTCTCTGTTCTACCCCTATGGTAAGGACTTTTAAACAGCCAGAGAGAGGACCTATGGAGAGGGGAGTTGTCCAACGTCAACTTGAGAAAAGGGAAGGTAGGAGAGGAGGGAAACTGGGAGAACAGTGGAAGAGGATGTGGTCTTCAAAATCCTCTTCAAAATTGCTTCCTCAAAGCTCAGG